TTGTGGTGTGACAGTTCTAAATGTTTACTAAATAGCATCAAATGTCGATATGGTTGATACATTGTAAAAAAGTATGAAACCCCTCTTACGCATAGCGGGATTATAATTGAAGATTATTTATTCCCCTCTTTTTACAATTATGAAAGATTTTATGGTGACACTGAAAATTTGTTATCCTCAAGAGAAATCACATTATGCCGCGTTTTGAGATAACAATTTTAAGCAAAAAGGAAATTGTAGTTTACTCCCATAGCTTCAAAACACATGAAGAAGGCAAACCATTTTCGTTAAATTCTAAGCCCACCATTCTCTCAAAACCTGGCAGACATAATAAAACCTTAGAGAAGGTTAATGTTTCAGTAATTTCCCATCAAATTCAATAAATAAAAATTTAACGCGAGTTTAAACTTCTAGGGGTGATGGAAAGTACACTTTCCTAATGCTAGATTAAGTTCTGCATGAATAAATTGGACGGTTGTTGATGGTCATTCAATTGAGAATTAAGAGGAGGAAATAATGTTCAGTAATGTTTCTCAGATGGAAATGCAAGAATACTTGTTGAGAAACATTGCTGATTTCGATGTTTCAATAACAGAGTAGCCTTAACAATACTATTCATCTCAATAATAGAAGACACATATTTCTGAGGCCAAATGATACAGGATACTTGTTGTGGACTATTCTAATTAGCTCTACTCCTCAATACATGAAATGCATGCATTGTGTTAAAATGTTTTTCACTTAGATAGGTTAGCCAGTCAAGTGTTGGGAATGATAAACATTGATGTTTTTGAACCAGATGTAGTGGACTATCATGGTATTCTTATCCATTCACTTCAATACAGAGCCAATATTTCACGTCACTTATCAACATCACCTCCAAAAATTATCGATCAAAAAAATAACCATCACATCTCTGCCTTCATCAAGTACACACTTTTTTAACAACAATAACAACAGTATCAAACAAAAGAAAGTAAATAATGAATCAAATAGAAGCAGGGTTAGAACCAAGTACCTCATCAAATCTTGGACCAAAAGGAATTGAACGTTTAGAAACAGATTTTACCGAAATTAAACGAATCACTGATCCATCACAAATTCGTGAAAGAAGAGAAAAAGAAG